GACATATTTCCCGACGGGACAGTTTACTGAATGATGTCCACTAACCTGAAACAGACGGAGAGGAGCTCTTTAGCTGAAATGAGTGCCTGCAGTGTCCTGATCTGCAGCAATGCGTGACAGCGACTCATCAGACTGGAAAAATAGTCCTGAAAGCGAGCTGTGAGCCTCTACTCTGAATTATCTGGTGAATTAATTATGAATTAATTATCTGATGAACGTGACACGCTCTTTCTCTCTGTAAATAAAGCAAAGCCACTTCCTCGTCCGACATTAAACAGAGCCCGACAGAGGAGGGAGGGGCGGGGAGGCTCTGCCGTGCAGCGCTTCAAGAGCTGACCTGCGTCTGACCTCAAAGTGCACAAGCTTCAAACTTCAGCGTTGGCTGCGATTTTGTAGCTGGAATCGCGTTCGGTGTGAACGCACCATAACAAGCTAAGCTGGGGTTCTTCTTCCATGAAGCAGCTCTGTTGTCCTCCATTCATATTTTCGGTTACAGGCTGAGCCATTTCTACCTTCTCTCTGTCAACGCTCTCTGGTTTCATTTGAAAAAGGCAATCATCAGATACTGAACTGTCCAAGATTAACCTTCAGGGTGGATATAGCTCGCTCACACCGAGGACCTACCCACATCATCATTTACCCAGATTGCTTTGCATGTAAATAAAATGGCTCCAACCGTGTTAAAATATATTTTTATAAACGTACAAAACTAAACATCCTACAGTATTTTTACAGCCTTTATTTTACAGTTAAAATATATATTTATCAAATAAAATCTAATGTTACAACTAATGGGGGATCTCTTTAAACAAAAGGATAAGAAAGTCAACTGTAATTTTTCCTTAAGGTGATTTTTTTGAATGAAACAGTAAATCTTCTGAAGGATATACTGTATCTGCATCGTCCTTTCTGATGCCGAACACTGAGATTGTGTTTTTATTAAAAAAATCTCAGCAAGATGTAAACGCCATGTGGGCCTCACCGCTCTCATCTCATTCCTTCTGTCACGCTGACGCCGCCCACGCACATGCACAAACAYGCCACATTTGAGCGTACGGCGGCCAGCTAATGAGCACGACTCAACCGTGATTGATCATCTGAATAATTAAACACGGGTGGTACCTGAAGGCACCATATGCTCCGCTCCGACGCGGACGTTTGACCGCAGTAGATTTTGATGACAGCATGCAGCTGACTGTTTCCTCGCCTCAGATGAAATCACCAGGGTGAGATAAAGGCCCTGAGATGACGTTATAATGAATCTTAGATTTGACGTGTAAATAAAGGGATCATGTGAGAGATCCATGTAGCCTCAGCTGGCGCGACGTGAGGTTTTCTCATATGAGGTGAGCCCCCTGACTCGGGAGCAGCTGCAGAAACGGACCCTGGATTGGTCCAGCTGATTGATTGGGCGTAAACAGTTCATCGCAGCTGATGTGACAAGGACACCCTCGGGGAAAAGGTAAAAACCCAAGGAAATCCTTCTTTTCCTACAATTCTGTAAATGGAAACCCTCCAATAAAAGCGCTGACCAGATAACACGCTAACCAGTAAAGATAAGCACAAAAGAAAATGAACACCTCAAAGAAAAAACAGTCTCTTTTCAGAGCGATAGCATTCTTTTGAAAATCACTATTTTCTCTTTTTCCCTGTCTGCTTTTTAAAAACGTCTCATGTCTTTGTAGACTTAATACCTCATTTTGTGATAAGACCTACACAGCTTCAGAACTGAAGGCAGCAGTTTTTGAAGAGCTGGACTTTGTGATTTATCATCACAGAACAATAAACTAACTTGTGCATATAATAAAAAAAAACATCCGAAACACACCGAAAGAAAAAAAGGCCCTTTACCTTCACCCAGCGTCTGCTTCAATAGGTCATGCTTTGCCTGCAGTTTGATGATGAGGTTACTGCCATTCAGGTACTCCTTGAATTTCTAAATGGAGAGGCAAAGACAAGAAGGAGTTTTAATATTCAAGGACATACGAGTCCAGTTAAACACAAACTGAGCATGAAAGTGTTTTTACACCTCACCTTTATTCCTGGTGGGTTATGATGTAAATGTTTGCCTCATCAATCATAGTAATCACAAAAATGGCTCTAAATCAGTCAAATTTAGGGATATTGAGCTATAGTTTTAAGGGCAGTAAGTGCAGGGTCTTAACCAACACATATTTTGAGGTTGATGGAAGTAGCGGCTCTTGAGCATAAATATTAGTGGGACATGGGATATTCATTTCCTGAAGTCATATCTGCACGAATGTTTAAATTTGCAGCACTTTGTCAGTGAAAAATAGACATTTTATATTTATTCAGTTATTTGTGCACAAGTTGTGGTCTTTTTTTCTCTCTCCCCACAGGTTGTGTTGGATTTCTGATTTAATTTTGAGTAATAATACTGCAAAAAGACTCCAGATTAACAGAGTTAAATGAGGGGAAGACGTCCTGTGAAATAATTCTAAATATAATGGCTCAAACTCACAGACAATAATTTCATGAACGCAGTAATTCATGTACGTCGCACCAGATTATGCTAAAAACGATCCTTCCTTCTTGGCAAAAAAAAAAAAGTTCAGTTTATCATTTATTCTGTCTTCCTCAGTTTTCTGTATTCTATTTTTGTCTACTCTGTCTTTTGATTTGGATAAGGGTGGGCACCGCCTGGTTGACGTACCGAGAAGTAAAACGTTTCTGTCTCTTGTTGGTTGGCCCTCCTCTTGGCAACATTGAGCTTGTTCATGTATGACTCCGAAGCCACAGACTTGATAGATTCCGTAGACCGGCTGTGCTGAAAGGCGTCCGACACGTCAAAGTCCTCCACTGTCAGCATGTCCTGTAGGGTTTGCATGGTGGCATCCAGGGTCTTTCTCACCTGTCAAAAGAGGCAAGTGAAGGTGACGAATGATCATGCTTTTTTCTGTTTTATCCAAATTTCTGGTGAGCCAGATTGAGTTCTTTAGAAAGCAGTCTTATCTTTGAACAATAAACCAAAATGTAATCATGATGTAAGTAAAGAGCAACACTTACAGACTACAAGAAAACAGAATTTCTGGCAAAGACAGAACATATTTTTGATGTTACTGATGAAGGGTTTTTTGGATTAATAAATGTCATCCCCTGTAATGGCATGGCTGCTCCATAATTCAGAACACAATACAGAGACAGAGGCAGAGCCATTACCTCCTCTATTCACATCTTTGTGCCGTCTATTTATAACAAAGCCTCGCCTTCCTGACAAAACAGACAATTTTCTATAAAACAGCGCTGTGACAGTCTGCACTCACAGCATTCTCAGCTCCTGCAGAGGGCAACTGCAACGTGAGCAGATGGTGATGTGTCCTTTCACTTTGGTATTTTGTCCTTTTAAAGTGTGAGGGCTTTTTTAAAAAGTGGGAGCAGACATAAATCATGAATTCTAACCTCCTCGTTCTCTATCTTTAGGGTTGCTAAACGAGACTGCAGTTGGTGGTAGCGCATCAGGAGCTCAGTCTGGACCGGCTGCTGAGCGCTGACCTGGCACACCTGAGGAGAAAGAAGAAATAAAGATCAATCTTTGATGTAAAAAGTCACAATAAAAACAGCTTTTCTGCAGCGAGAGAAAGCTTTACAGCAGCCGAAGGGTTCAGATGCTCTTACCTCGTCTCCCATGTGTGGCAGGTATTCAAAGCGCATGGGAGGGCAGAACACCTGGTTATGCATATCCATGATCTTGTGCTTGTCACTGCGAGAGTCCAGGTTGTCCACTGCATTCTCAATGATATCCAGTCCCTCGTGGCGCGACGTCTCCAGGTTGTACTCTGCAGACAAGTAGGTCCTAAAGGTGCGAGCCAAGCTGGCATGGTAGCCCAGGTCACAGCACTTCAGAGAGAGGGAAAAAAAGATATATAACCAGAATAAAAAACACACTTTACATTAGATATTTACGTTAGACAGAAAAATGGGAATTGGTGAAACACATTGTACCGTATACGTAATGGATGAGCGCTTCATTGTGAATGTGTAGCATTTTACATTGTTTTAATGCATAATGACAAATAAACTTGAACTGCAGGAATTCTCTGACAAAATGCTTGCAAAGCTCTGACCTCTCTGACAGCTTTGTTTGATTCAAACTTTCTTTCTAATAACAATAATTAATAGCAATCAGAAATATTTAATTTAATGGTACAATTATTTTTTATTTTACCGTTATTTAACCAGGCAAAAAACCCATTGAGATCTTAGATCTCGTATTCAAGGGCGGCCTGGGCCTGAAGTCAACCTATTGTACATGTTTTTGTGCTGTGGGGGAAAACCGGAGTACCTGGAGAAACCCCACGCAAGCACGAGGAGAACATGCAAACTCCACACGGAAAGACCCCAGATCTGAACTGGGGATCGAACCCAGAGCCATCTTGCTGTGAGGCAGTAATGCTAACCACTATGCTGCCGTGCTGCTTTAATAAATTTTTTATTAAAAAAATTAAACTTTTATAAAAGAAACATAAAAAAGAGTTAATATGTCCAAAATGACGCCGGGCCCTTCCACATCTAAAACAAGGTTAGGAAATGATTCACAGTTTATTTTGCTTAGCTCATTCACATTTTCATCATTTACACAATTCCAAATATAAAAGTGCATCAACATTTTTTACCATCTCACAATTTCATAATTTTAAATATAATGCAGAACTTCTCACAAAAATTCTTGTTTTACTGTTAGATCTGTATCATTCATTAATTTCAACGTAACTCCATACAGCACGCAAAATCACAGCTTGATCATTGTAAGTACTAAACTACAAAATCTTTATGTTTGTGCCCAGCTTGCAAATTACAGGTTTCACAAAGGCAGCTGATCATAAGTGGCCGCTGGTACGATAAAGTAGCACCTTAATGTTACTGAGCAATAAAGTCTGCAGCAGACATTCTTCCACAGGAAACTACGTTTCCTTTTAGTAGCTTTTTTACACGTCATGTGCTTCCTCTGACTTTATTTTAAACACTACAGATTATAAAAACAACATTTAGCTTCCTATGTAAAAATCTCCACCAGGCGTTCTACTGCCAGCGCAGATTAGTCGCTTAAAGCTGCAGAGAATTCAAAGATTGTGGGGAAAAAATCAAACTCTGAATGTGCAGGTCAAGCTCACAAACACTGTTAGCCACATGGTGGTGTGGCTAATTCATCACTGCAACAAGGTGAAAGTTAAACAACTGAGGTTTTGATGATTTTCACTTAAATTTAATCAGGATCAGTTCAATAAAGAATAATAAAAATGTACAAGTAGATAACTTTTTTTTTTTTTAGTCTGGTACATTATTCAGAGCACCTGAACACATCTATGGGTCTCTGTAATTGACTAAATGCCTGATTATGTTGTGTTAAATGTTAGTGGGGAAAATGAGGTGGAGCTCATAAAATTACAGGATTTGACACAGTACGACACGAGGGATAATTACAGAGTCTTATCACTCCGAGCTGTATGAAGCAACCTAATTAAGTAGAGGACAGTACTGAGGAAGTTTAGAGGGAGCTGGGGGCAGCCGACAGCGCCGTAAATCACTAAGTAAACCCTCTTTAAAACTCTTAAACACCACAGAAGACGGCTCTCTTCTCTGTGCACATGCCTCATTGGCCTCTTAGTCAAAATCTGACTCACCCAAGTCTGAAGGGGGAAAATTAGCCTCGTTTTCAACAAGTAAACAAAGCAGGAACACATTGATGTGTCTGCATTAGTACCTTGTAGTGCCGGATGATTGAGGCTTAAATCCAAGCCCTGTTGGCGTCTCATTTTCATGTTTTCATCTTTCTCATTACAGCTGCGCTTTGATTACATTTGAATTCTTACATATTTATTACATTTCATGTGTTTCCTGTGTCAACTCTACAGGGCAAAATGAACAAATTAACAAAACATTGTTCTTATATGTATTTTTCCTGTATTGTACTAGATTATTTCTACAGTCATAYTTTTCAAACACGGTGACATTTCTGACTGTGTGTACAAGCTTTTATCAGATGAAATTTTAACAAATTTAAATGTTTTCTGAAATACAGACTGGCTTAGAAACAAATCAACAAAGCCTTCTTCAAACAGAGTGCACTGTTTGGTGCTGGTAACAAGTGTTTTTTGATTGTATGGGTATAGGTCATTTCTGTTTCATTAATCCCATCCCAAATTCATCTTTTGTGTGTATTTGTAACCTCCAATAAAAAAAATCATACATTTTTCACAACAAGTTGGGATCAAGGTAAGATTGATTTCATTCTACTGAAGGGGTCTGCAACCTGTGGCTCTGGGGCCACATGCAGCTCTCCGGCCCCTCTGCAAAAAAGGAGCCAAAGAGATTTGAGATTCAATTTTTGATTTTTTTTTTATAATCACAAAAGAAAAGGCTAGCTTTAGAAGTTTTTATGTCAATTTGGTTTCATATCTATGATCAATAATATAACAAGTAAAACATGTTGATTAGATCAGTGGTTCCCAACCCTGGTCCTCAAGGACCCCTATCCTTCACGTTTTACTTGTTTCCCTGCTGTTCAGCAGGTCTTCAGAAGATTGTTAATCACTCTTCATTCAAACCAGGTGTGTCAAATCAAGGAAACAATAAAACATGCGAGAACGGAGTCCTTGAGGACCAGGGTTTAGAACCATTGCTTTAAAGCATTTTATCTGATTTATTATTTATAAATAAATGGCAAAGAATCAATGGCTTTCAGAGAAAACCTTAAAAAAACATAAAACTAAGTCAATATTATATATTAAAATGTCTCATCAAGCTCAAAGAAGCTCTTGATGTGTTTGTCAACATTTAAATCAGAGGTTCCCAACCCAGATGTTTCCCTGATTTGACACACCTGGTTTGAATGAATGAGTGATTAATAATCTTCTGAAGGTTCTGAAGACCTGCTGAATCGCATGTTTTCGTTTTCCTGCTCTGCAGCAGGTCTTCAAGTTCTACAGAAGCATGTTCATCACTCATTCAGTCAAATCAGGAGCTCATATCACAAAAGTCAGATTTATAAATCCATGATATCAGCTGTAAGCTGAGCTTGAACAAGCCTTCAACTTGTAAACAGCTGTAATCTGTTGGGAGGTACATAGCAGGCACAAAGGAGGTGAAGGGGACTTGGCATAATGGCATGTCAGGCTCTGAGACTATTTTAAAGGCAAAGTTGAGGTTAGGTCTTTTTTTAAAGGGGTAATATCATGTAAAATCAACTTTTCTGAGTTTTATATCATGTTATAATGTTATCCTCTCATCAAAATCATGCCCTGAGTCTTACTTTGACTTATTCATGCATGTTTGAGAAATCCTGCAGTGTTTTTAGGCAGCCAGGCAGGGAAGCAAAAACGACAGGTTGGGACTAGAACCGCCTTTTGGGACCATCTCCTCCTCTGGGCTGTGTCTCCAAGCTGAGCTTCCTCATCACAGAGCACACCTCCCCACGCCCACCCGCCCGTGACTCCTGCAGGCTCTCAGCAGCAACAAAGCAAACAACTGGTTACACTAAAAGTGAAACTGAAACTGTTTGCTGAGCTCCCAATACTACTTCTCAGCGCAGCCCTTTTCAAATTCAAAATACCTTTGAGGAAATGTATTTTCAGATGCCAAGTAAACTACACTGAGCTTCCGTATCACAGTGCACACCCCCCCCTCCCCACGTGTTGAAATGGGCGGGACAGTAGCAGAAGGAGGTTCTTAAACAGACAGAGGCAAATTTCAAGGTGTTTAGAAATGATGAGAAGAAGAGTTTATTTTCTATTTAAACACAAGAAACAGCATTTTAATAACAACTAAAGGTGACATAGATACTTACCGGTAATTAAGGTATAGAACTTAAATATATGCCTGAGAAACGCATAATATTGCCCCTTTTAACCTCTGTTCTAGTGGAAGATTAACTCTTTTCTGATTTGTGTAACCACAAGAGTCAGTTCCTTTTTCTGCTTAATACTGGTGTTTATTGTGGTGGAAAAAGGCAGCAAAAGGATCACARTTGAAATGTCTGCAGGATTTAAAAGACATGGACCATTAGGTGTCTAAACACAGGATCTGTCTGACAAGAAAAAGAGGTGGAGAAAATCAGAAAGTGTATTCTTTATGTACATCTAGAGCCTTTGTAGCATGACTACACTCCAAATATACCCATACAAGTTTAGCCACAGTCTGTATGTAAGTGTGGCTGATGTATTTTTGYGTGCACAAACACGAGGACAATTTAGACACTTGAATGTTATCAGAAATATGTTTGCTGTCGGCAGAAATACAAATTCTGCAGCTTCAACTCCAGCAGCACAGAGCACTAAAGAAAATAATTCCCCATTAAAGAGACTCATATATTCTGACAAAACAAAGTGAACAGTAGTCAATATTAAACAACACATGAGAAAAACACTAGATCAAAAAAATAGTCTTATTTGTTCTCACAACTTCCTACTTTCTTTTATGTAGCAGAAAATAAAACTCCAGCACATCAAAGCTCAAACCTACATTTCAAACGATGTCATGGAAAACATTTAATCTTGGCAGAAATTGCTAAAAATAAAGATTAGAAGAGAGGAAATCCTTTGTCTGTATGCATAATGATGATAAAGTAAACTGGAAGCATAAAATGACAACATTTCCTTTTTGGATTCACTGAGACTGTAGAGGGATGCTACACTATGGAAAACTTGGATTGAAAAAACAAATAATGCACCCAAGTCTTCTTCCTGAAGACAGAGTTGCATGTGCAAAAACATATATTAAACTGGAGATGGGTTTTAAATTGAGTCTATTTAAGGAGCTGTAGTGCAGACAGTTGACTTTATCTTTGAATTATATTAAGATTAAATATGAAATAAAATTAAAGGAGATGCAGTATTTAGACTATATTTACAGTAAGCACACTTGTAGATTTGAACCACCACCCCTCTCATTCAGATTACAAATTCATTCCAATTAAACTGAATTAGATCAGAATATTCCAGTTGGAGCTTTGACATGGTGCATTTTTATTCTGATTGGCCATTTATTCTGATTACTTAAGTCCATGTAAATGTGGCTAGTGATRGCTAGAGGTAGGCAGCTGCAACAAAGAGCTGTATGTCCGTGCAGAAACTCCTAAAACCAACGTCTATAAACATAACTGAATGAGGAAAAGAAGCACAAAGAGGCAGAGCACGACTCATCTTGTCAACACTGWTTAAATCTTTTGAAATCATCAGGAATAAAATGTGCTTGTGTGGAAAATACAAAGCAATAACACTTAATTTTTAATAAAAAGCATGTCAGTGTTGAAATTTATTACGCAGCAATTAATGCTGCAAAGATGGTGGCAACTAGGTTTACCGACACCGGTGGAGCAGCTCGAAAAACAAACAGCGAACAGGCTGAGAGGGAATGAGAGCAGATGGTGAGGAAAGTGACAGAGCTGCGGAGTTAAATCAACATCAGAGGTCCCAGCTGAGAGACACAAACAAACACATGCTCCTCGCTCAGACTTACATCGATCATATCAGACACGTCATGGATGTAATACTTCGCCACCACTGCATTTGTTGCTGCCAGGTTCAGCAAATAGTCATTCCGCGCCTTGGTGCATTTCAGCTTATTTTCCGAATACTTGGCTTGCCTCTGTGGAGAAACAGAAGAGACAAAAGCAGATGAAGGAGAAAAAAAACTCACATCAGTGCAGTAAAATGGAGCAGCAGTGGGGGAGTTTTTAGAGTCATGAAACAGGTACAGGTGGAAATAGTTGGAAAGTTTGAAGAGACAGACTCTAGAGATGGAAACTTTTGACTTTGATGTGGTAATAGACACAGTCAGGCTTACATTTAGTTAAAAATCTTCAATTTTAGCACAAAACTTTCACGAACGATGGATTGAAGGGAGTATGTTGACATTTTGTGAATGTTCTCTAATGCTTGTTCCCCCTGAGTTTAATATGTCTGAACAGTAGGGTTGGGCGGTACTGCTTATCTTTAGATAATACAGTATATGGTATTATCAGGGCAGGGCAGAAAGAGGCAGAGCGTGGCGTGAAAGGTCTGCGGCGTGTTGAATTACTTTCTCACGCTCTCGCCATCTTTCCATCGMCGCTGAACTTCATCCAACTTTTGCGTCTTTTTATTTTCTCCTTCTTGTAGATTTTTTGGCTTTTGTCATATAACTTTGGGCCTCGGTCAGAAAGGAGGTCAGGGGATTTAGGTTTTTTTGGCTTGAGGGAAGGATGAGTCTGATGGCAGATTGAGCTGTTTCTTCCATGAGACTACTGTTTTCTTCTGCCTGCCGATGCAACACACATCAAATAGGATGGTCGTGTTAAAGCTAAAAGTTAGTGTATAATTTGAAGTCTCTACTTTTGTCACAAACCAAAACAGTGTCTCAGAAGGTGTATCTTTCCGGCTAGAGCGATTTATAGTTCATGTGACTAGGCTCCAGTGGGTTAATGTACCATCATCATTTTCAAATACTGACGCCACATTTCAGTACAGATGTACAGCACAATACCATCATACCAGCCAAGCCTACTGAACATGTTTAGAAGCTTGTCCAAAGGCAACATTTTCATTTTGCACCTCTAAAGCTTAATGATAAACAGTTTTTTTGTTTAATACATGCAAAAATTTTAAGTGGGTAGATTTTCTTCCATTTGCATATACTGTAGCCAAGCTGTATGTCACTGATAACACTCGTGAAAAAAGGATGTATTATAAGTATAACTAACATTGTTATGTTGTGTACTTACAGTGCAAAAACCTGAACTCCCTACATTGAATTAAAGGAGACAATGATAAGGTAGTACAAAAGTAGCCTCATCTACTTCAGAATCAGCTCAGTCTCATCACAGATTGGCTTTATATATTTCTAATTTTAAAACGCTGCAGTGCAAAAGAACCAATTTACACCAACTTCCTGGCAAAATAATGAGCAATAAGACAGCAAGAAAAAAAAGCCAAACCTCTATTGCAATGCTGTATTATAAATAGTGCAGCTACATTTGCAGGTGGAGCCGCTGAAGTTAGCRGCCTGTGAAGGAAGAAAGCAGCCTTTTGATTTTCTGCAGCAACTGTAAGAGGTAATAAGGGGTTTTCTTCATTTGCATGAAGAAATTCTGGAGCAAGCTCAGAATATAAAAACGCATGGTGGTGTCTGAAGTGGAGAATGCTCCAGAGACTAAGAGCCTGACATGGTTGGCAGAGAAAAGCAGAAATCTGCATAAGATGGAGAGGGTTTATTGCTCTGAGTGCATCTGGCTGCAGACCTCAGTGTCCTCCTGAGACTGTCTGACATTTTATTGCTCTCTGTCTATGAGTTTCTCCTTTTCCGCACTTTCCGAGCAAACCCGTACCTTGTTGACATTTAGCTTTGTCGAAAAGCTCATCAAAGGCATTTCCAAACCTAACTCTGGAGCTGAATTCTAGGGAAACAAAAACACTTCTGTCTTACACCCACTTACCTTCTCTTTCATCTTCTCAATTTTTCGGACAGAGCTGCGTCTCGGTTGGCGGTCTTCATGCCGGAGCAGGTTGACGTTGAGATCTCCGGATCGGCTGAACTGCTTTTCCTCCTGCTTTTCAGCATCTTTCAGTTTGCTCTCAGCACTGATGCTCTCAGTGTGGTACATGTGGTATGTTTTCATCACCTAGGGGATAAAACAAAAGATGGACTTTTTAGACACATCCCCTCTTTCTTCATCCAAATACATTGAACATGCACCTTTTTAACATGAAGTTTCTGCCGCAATAAGCATCTATTTAGTTAATGTTTCATTAAAAAAAACATAAAAATCTTGTAATACAGTACTGATATTGTTCATTTTAACTGATAATTTTCATTCTTTCCAAGTCATATCCTTCATATTTTGAATAAAATGTACTGTAAATGTGAAGACAAATTATGTAAACGAGGCAAACAAAACAACCCAATTTCATTAAATGGATCCACGATAACGCCATAACGCTAAAGCTAACAGGCTAAGCTGAGGTTCTTCTTCCATGAAGCAGCTCTGTTGTCCTCCATCTATATTTTCAGTTACAGGCTGAGTCATTTCTACCTTCTCCTCTCTGTCAACGCTCTCTGGTTTCATTTAAAAGAGYCRATCRTCAGATATTGTCCAAGATTAACCTTCAGGGTGGATTTAGCTCACTCACACCAAGGACCTATCCACGTCATCATTTACCCAGAATGCTTTGTGTGTAAATAAAATGGCTCACTCCGTGTAATATATTTTTTAACTTTTAGTTTAAAAATGATCAAAACTGAACATTCTACAGTATTTTTACAGTCTTTATTTTACAGTTAAAATATATGTTTATTAAATAAAGTCTAATGTTACAACTAATCAGGGATCCCTTTAAAAACCCTTCTGACTCTTTTAAGAGTCAGTGTTTTTGTTGTTGACAAAAGAATAATCGTACATGAGGCTGAGGAGCAGACATCAGACACGAGGTGGAAGATCGGAGAGATGAGATGAAAGTTTATTGATCCGCAGCAGGAAATGAACACACGTGGAAAACAAAATTCAGCAGCGTCGTGTTGATAAAAGCAGCACCGAGAAGGGACTGACTCCACGGACCTTTCCCTCTTTTTCTCATTTCAGAGTTGGCGTTAATGCCGAGCCAGAGAGATAAAATGATCTCCATCCTCAATATTCTATCTCCCCTTTGAAAACAACAACACGTTACAGCCCACTGCAACATTGTTCTACCAGCTATAGTAGAACGTTACACAGAGCTGTTATCATCAMATGGTTGAACTATTATTTTAGCGATTTCTGGTCACTTTCAATACTAACCAAGGTCTATTTGTTGTGATCTACACCAATATTTTTATTTGTGGGTTTTCACAAGGGTTTATGTATTTTCTAAGTTTTGCAAGAATAAAGATAGTTGAGCAAAAAATAATGTTCCCGGATTTTTTTTAAGAGATTCATATTACARCTGGACTTTAGCACGTTCACCARWAACMAGTCAAAAATGTCAAAATTAGATGAAGCAATAAATGAAGAGAAAAGTCATCAACTTTGACTTTGGGTTAATCCTGTGAGCTTTGGATATCCCTGTTTGTTTTGTCATGTTGAGGAAGGTGCTACTGTATGTGGTTTCTGATCCTGCAAACAAAGATTTTTCATGGAAACGTTCAAAGTTGTCACATTCAATATAATTATATAATAAATATTTAGCCTATTCTGTTGTCTGCTGATGTAAAAGTTCTGTGACATTATTTTTTTTCTGATAAATCCAAGTTTATTTCTGGAAAGATAGCACTGATAAAATATCGTAAAAAGTGAATTCACGGTGCTGAAGTGAACAGTTTTTGAGATATATGATCACAAATGTAAACAAAGAACATCTTTCAGACAACTCTTTTCTGATTCTGTTGCTTTTGTTTGTAACATACAACCCCCCAATTTCAATGAAGTTGGGACAGAATAAAATGATTTGCTACTCCTTTTCAACCTACATTCAATTGAATACACTACAAAGACAAGATATTTAATGTTCAAACAAGTAATCTTTACCGGGTTTTAGTAAATATTCAATCATATCTGTCCCATTTCTTTGGAATTGGAGTTGTAGAAAAGGAATTCCCTGCTACTAAAATTAAGAGTTAAGGGGCCACTTTGATGGGGTCAGCACTAAAACAGTACTGAGCCTATACAACCCCAGCAGAATGGATAAAGYCATAAAGGTGCATTATAGAAAACAGACTCCAAGTGTCTGAGAAAAGCCCCTGTTTACCACAGCAACTATGTTCAGGTTTTAAAGGCATTAACACATTCAGTACATGCACTTGCGTTTAACACATGCTGCTGATAACAGTCTGCTGCCACGTCCAAACCTACAGATGGCTCCATCAGGGAAGGTTGCCAGCGCTGCCCTTTGGTATTTTGACTCTAATCRTCCTGCGCAGAAGAATAAGTCATATAAGGCAGCTCTGCCATCTCTTCTGTCTCACCTCCGGGGGCAGGAGACTGCTGAAGTTGCTTGGAGTTTGGCCAACATTTTGGACACTAAGCTCCTCTCAGTTAGAGCTGAAGTGAGAGCATCACTGCAGCAGCAGAACTGTGTGTTTTAATCCCYAACATACGGTCAGATCTGTGGGGTCTCCTACAGGAATCCAGGCTATTTATAATGTAGTTTTTAAGCCTGCAATGTTTTCTTTTGTTATCTGATGAAGTTATAATAACAATCTTAATTTTTTATTTATGTTCTGACATATAAATCCTTGAACTGTCTGAAGATGATATTTCCCGGACTCCACGCTTGTTTCAACATTTTTCCTTTAGCCTTAAATCTTAAACWGATTAAAAAATGAAAAAGGCTTCCAACATTGAGGTATAGCCCAGAAACTGTCCAACATGTTCATTTTTATCGCTTACAAGTACTTAACTCTCTTGCTGCTCTTTATCACCACCAATCATCAGCCCRGTTGAATTAAAAGGCAAAAAATAATAATGTATGAAACAAATCAAATAATCCCCCGTCATACACTGAGTGCGAAAAGCAATTAATTTGAACACCATCTTTGGACACTTTTACAAGGAACAGTTCTCTGTAATCYCCCAAACGCCAATAAATGAAACAATCTGTGGAAATGAGATACAAAGCAAATGTTAAAAAGTTGAGCTTTTCATAACAAACAAGAAGAAAGAGAAAAAAAGAGAATGAAATCGGTGATACAAAAAGCAAAAGAAAGACCACTTAAAGTGTAAGAATGGCAATGGGAGGAAAAATAGCTTTTTTGGATGAGATGAGGTTTGAGAGATCAATCTRCAGGAGCTGTAGTCTATTACTCACAGTGTAGAGTTCATTTGTCACCTTCACCAGCTCCTCGTGCATCTGGATCCCAATCTCTTTGCTCTGAAAAAAAAAAAAAACAGCAAGAAAGAAAGAAAAGGGTTGAATATAACAGTGATATTTGTCAGCAGTGACCTGACTGAACAAACTCATTAACTTGTGCCAACTGAGTTTGGCGAGACAGAAAGAAAGAAACACTGAATCAACAGCCACCAAAACATCGATTGTTGATGCACCAACACAGGAATACTGTAGTTTTTTTTTTTACAACAATAGACTAGGGCTGCACAATATTAGGAAAACCTGCAATGTGCCATAACGGTCCTTAATATTGCGATGGTGATRTGACTTGTGATAAATAAACAAATATGTAAGTATGTAGTGTTGATGTCTTTTTGCTCTGGGTTCAGAGCAAAAAAAAAAAGAAAAACATTTCCATTCTAACATGAATTTTAAAAAAATATTAAGAGATCTATCTAACTGGCCAAATACATGAAGGGCTCCTTTTGATTGGTGAAATACTCYAAGCTTCCGTCTGAGTGACAAAACCCATAAATGCAAACTTTTGAGCCAACCACTTATTGCACTTTATGCATTTTTATGTCTATTGCACAGGCTGTTATCRCGATGATGAAGTTTTGATATACTGTGTCCTGCAGCCCTACAATAGACACGTACTSTATCCATCATGATTACAAAGCTAGCAGAACATTGGAAATGTGTTAGATGTTACATGATGGCAGTTTCATTTTCTTTAAAAAGAGACCATGCATTCAAAATATTAGTCTTATGAAATAAAAAATACAATGTGTCAGATTTAACCACTGGCTATTTTCCATCTATTATCCTTGGCAGAAAACACAAAGTCCATACAAAATACTAGAAAACATCAAYGTGATTAAAAATAAAAGCAGTTGGAACCAGTTACTCTCTAAATCCAGTCACACTTACCAAAGCTCATCACAGACTTTACCACCTCATCTGCACAACTACTTTAAAACATTCATATAATAAGGMCAGTTAAAAATCAGGACAGCAGTGGTTGTTTAAGAAGTTCAACTTGGGGAAAAAACAGAAAACAGAAAAGTCTTCATAGCTTATTTTGTCCTCTGCCCTCTTTCCAACTGCCTTCATTCCCTCTAACCTCACCCACACATCCTCTCTTGGTCTTTGTGACCTCTGCTCCTTGCAGCCTCAGTCTTTTATATGACGGTGTCGTCTACATACGGTGGTCACACAACAGAAAAAGGTCATYGATGTACAAGCTGAATAACTGTGGTCCCAAAACTAATCCTTTATCCCTGTGACGTCCACACCACCGATCCAAATACACTGACACTAACAAGTTAGTCTCTTTTACATATTTTACTTTCACATTTAGGAGTATCTCCACAAGTTAGGAGTGTTAAAGGCCCTATAACATTTTAGACAACTTATGCCAACTTAGGAAAAGTTTGTCATGACTATTTTACTGGTAACAGCTATGCATTTGATCTAATTGTTAGCATTACAGTATATATAGGTCCAAAAGAGGCTTCCAGTAGATTTTTTAAAAATTCCATGCTCAGCTTAGACATCTTTAGTATTGGACAAACCTTTCATAAGTTGGCATAAGTTGTTTAAAACGTTATAGTGTGACAGAGCCTTTAGGTTTACCAAGCACTGAAGGCAATGTGTGAAGAGAAAAAAACTGAATACGTGTGTATAAAAGGCTGTATTTGAACATCAAGCTGTGGAAATGCACAAACAAAAACAGGATATGTCAGCTTGATGGCTAACGTGAATCCAAGAGTTTATGATTTAATCTTTAACACACGTACGATGCAAATACATACAGCATTTCCTGTTTATCTGACTGTATTTAAATTTTCTAATAACTGAGTTTGATTCACTAACCTGCTTTAGGGACTCGTGTTTCTTAACACGTCTTTTGTAAAAGCTGAGTCATCTGTGCTGCTCACTCTGGAGGTTCTGTGTTTTGATGACGTCACACATAAACTCGGTAATATTTTCTGTTAGATTTCTGTTTTAATTAACTCGTTTTAAAAATCATTTTATTAAAAAAGTAAAAATAACCAAATGTCTTCAGGAAACTTGCTTGTTGTTGTTGTAGTTGCCACATGAGAGGCATAACCCACAGCACCATTGTGAAACCAAATGTATTGTTTGGTGATGTGAGTACTACAWGCACACCCACCCCGAAACAAACCACATCCACCGACAGTTCTGAGAAATTTAAAGGTAGATGAAAGTTAACCTTCCTGTTCACACCCTGTTAGGCTTCAGTAACTGGGCCTGACCAAACYTGAACCTGCTGAGTCAGAGGTTAACCTATTCATCAAATTAGTGCAGGGATATGAGACATTTTGTCCTCAAACAACAAATATCTGCATGAAAACAACAAAACTCCCCTGGTGTATCAAACATACAGCCTAAACTGACACATGTGGCTAAATATTTAGATTTATTTAGCTCTTGGTTAAAAGATACTAAAAGTAAAATTTGTTAGTCTCGTTCTTCCAATATGATTAATTTGGAACATCTTAAATCTGAAAGTCTTGGATTTATGTGCTCAATGAGTTTTCAGTTAAGTTCACTGCCTGGCAACAAAGGCAAAAAAAGGTGATAAAGTTTTCACCTTTGTCTGCCTGTTAGCAAAACATCTGAAGAACCGCTGAATAGATTTTAGTGAAAGTCTCAGAAAGTAATCATTACCTGCACAGCTACAACTCACTGACTTWGGTGTCAACCTAATTCATGAAGGCCGCCACACAAAAAGGCCTAAAACTCCTAAAAACAGTTTTACAGCTATTCAGCTCAGATTTGATGTGGAAGAAGCTGAGAGTCATTGACATCACAAATGTCAGGTGTGTACACAATGTGCAACATCTTTGCTTAAAGCTTTGGCATTACTTGTCAAGATTCGTTAGGCTGTTGGAAAAATATCTTGTGAAGCGTTGGATGCATTTTAACGAAAATCTCAGGAAATAATCACTGGATGTGCATCTACAACTGATGAACTTTAGGAGTCAATCCAATTAAAAATAATTACCACAGCTAATCATCATTAGCAAACACAAAAACATATCTAACTCAGTCCTAAAATGATCTTAGCATTAACTCTGGCATAAAAGGTGGCAGGTGATGTACATTTGTTTAAGGAATGCTAAGCCTTTAATTTATAAGTTGTTCAGTTTTCATATGAGAGCATAAAAAACACAGAGATGGTTCAAGGTTCTCTTCCTGCCCTCAGGCCTTATTTTGCCCAAGTTAGGATGTCGTGAGCATTCATAAAGCAACAACCTTGACTTAATATGATCTTTTTTTAACTTGTGGTATGAAACACATCAGGGAAATACAGAAGTCTTTGTAATATAAAGATGGTTTGTTGCTTTTTTGCAGTGTTTTTATCAGAAATGGAGGCACTGTGTCTTGCTCACACAAGCGTTAGACTGAATRCACTAAATAGGATTCATCCTCCGAGGGCTCCAGCAGCTGGTGAGCAGCATCTGTATGCATGAGTGGCTCTGAGGTGAGACAGACTGCAGCATGCACTGCAGAGGCTTATAGGGGGAGCAGGGGGGTTCACCCAAACTGATGCAACACACCACAAGAGCTGGATGTCTTATTGTTACAGCCCTAAAGAGTAATATATGAGATTTTACATTTAAAAAATGTCTACCCGGTGAGACATTTTGGATTAAACAGCAGAATTTAATGACCTATATACAGTTACACTTCCCACACATAACATAATTATTTGATTTAATTTTCCATCTTGCTGTTTTAAAYGCTATGATTAACCTCTCAGCTGCAAAATAAATCTTTAAAAAGTAGAGAAAATATCATCCCCATATTTGGTCTTTAAGTCCACTACATTTTGAATGATCACACACTGAACAAACCATTCAAAAAATAAATCATTTCATAAGCTATAAGATGTATGATTGATTTTTATAACTTTTGCGCAGCAGTTTTCTTAACCGTTTTCTCTTCTCTTATCTTATTCAATTCATTTTAAAGCACTATTCTAAATAAAGTATCTGTTGCCTTCTGCTTGTCTGTCAGCTGAATCGAAAGCAGAATCATTCATTCATGCTTTCAAATCTTTTAAAAAAAGTCACCTCGGGGTAGAAAGTACCTGGAGTATTTTCACCATTTTTAGTTCTGGGAAAAGTCTCCACTGTGGAAACCTGTAAAGTCTCTGAGCGGAGCCTCACCTACAGGAAAGCCTGCAAGGTGAAAACAGGGTTCTGGTGTTTGAATTAGACCTCAGTTATCCCTGCTATGTGCTGACAWGCAGCCAGATGTTGCTCAGGGGAAGCAGAATCCAGGGCCAAGTGGGGTCTCAGCTTTAGTTTCCCCCCAAACCATGTTTAATGCTCTGTAGACCGTGAAGCAGTCAGGTAGTTTACCAACTTCAGACCACCAAACCATCAGTTTTTATTCTAAGGTCGAGCTGAATTAATCAAAAAGACCAAGTTGGACATGACAGCAATGTTGAACGTCATCTTTAAAGCAAAAGTATTTCTGACATAATGTGACAATATGGATACTGATGTCAACACAAATCCACTGAGATACGATCTAAACTCACAGAGAGCAAAATGAACAGTTAGAAATTTGCCTCCATTTTATAGAAACTTTTAAATTCTACTTAACCACAATATTATGTTTACATGCTTAGAAACTGTTTGAGACTTTTGATATTGGGTTTTGTGGAAAGTTAGGAAGTATTAAAGGCACAGTGTGTAGGATTTGTTGTTTTCAGCGACACCTACTGGTTGAGTGGTTGAATCATCCTCCCTGGTCCCCACCCCGGCTTCCAAACACAAAGGAGTTGCTACGGTGTCTCTCAGGTGTCAACCACGATGTCTACCAGCAGCTTCAGGGCTAGTGATGTTTCAAGTGGTAAGATTATGAGCTTTAATAAGTAAAATTATCCCAGCTACAATGACAGACAACAAATATTACATTTAYAGTATTACAACTAAAACCGTTTTTGACGCCGCCACCGCAGTTTGTCCTTCATGAGCCTTCATAGACAACATGATGGTGCAAGATGACGGCTGCCTCTGTGGTGACCCGCGACCATGGAGATATAAACAGCTTTTTAKAAGGTAAAAATAATAAAACAAGGTCTTTGTCTGCAATGATTAGACATGTTTTTTATTATTGTCATTAGTGATTATCTGAATTTTGGCTAAAAAAATTAACAAAATCCTACACACTGTGCCTTTAATAGCTTACCTGTTGCAGAAAGCTCTTTGAACAGTTTGGAGAAATACATTTTAATTCTGACTGGACCGRTGAGATAAAAGCTAGTGGGTCCAGGACTAAACTGAATTGTTGCCTTATTAAAACAACTTCAGTGTTAAACAAATAAGAATAAAATAAAATAGCAATTCATGCAAACTCTTTTCCACCGCCATCAATTTTGAATTCGAGTTAGGGTTACGCCGCCCTTGAAAAAAGAATCTGTGATTTCAGTGGGATTTGCCTGGTTAGATAAAATAAAACAAAATAAAATAAAATAAAATAAATAACTGCAGAGCATGTTTAAAGTTCCGTCACTCTGCACTTTCTTGACAAAGCTGTGTTATTTACTCACAAAAATGCCTCTTACATATCCACACACTCCTATTTATTAAAGCATCAAGCAGAACAAATTATTTTAAACTCCAGCCTCTTGAGGATAAAATGTGGGTCAAGAGTGCTGCTCCACCCTTGTGCAGATTCCTTTAAAGATGTCTTAAAATACAAACAGCTGATGTGAAAACGAAACTCTTCGTCTGAAAACTGCAACTGCACTTTTAAAAAAAAAACCTGGCAAAGATGGTTCACAATCACAGGGATAAAAATAAAAAAAACTTACTCAGCCCCTAAAAGCATTTAAAACTCACAGATGTTTGGTTTTGTCTCAGTTTCACTGACCTTCTTGAACAGACGGATGACATCCTCGCTGATCTGAGCCAAGCGAACGATAACGTTGTTGGTGTAGATGTCGCAGAGGGTGGCGTGGTCCCGACTCTCACGCCTGGTCTGGTTCAGCAGCAGATACCAGCAGTTTACTGAGGACAACAGGTGCTGGTCTTTCCTGAAATAAAAACAGGAACACAAAACTGTCATCAAGGCAGATACTGCTAYAAAAATACTTAAAATGTTTGAACTTATTTAGAGGGAGGTAACATGCAAAATTGTCTTTTTTGAGCTTATATCATAAAAACATACTCAGAGTGTTGCTTTGACTCAATAATGCATGTTTAGGTCATCCTTGAATTGAATTAGCCTTTTAGAGCTGCCTGCAATAAAAAATGATTTGTTGACTTAACCAAGTTATGTCAACYGGTTCCACYAAAYCAATCTGAATTATAAAGCAGTTTACTAAACTTGGTAAGTAAAKTCAACATTTCATTTCTTAGGTCGTATTCACACCTGAGAGTCCAGTGGACTCGGTTCGACCGGGRACCAAAATTGCAAGATTTGTTTACATGTTCATGTTGGTGCGGTTCACATTCACACTGCACTTTGTCAAATGAACTAAACCCTGTGAACAACCTGTTCCCCTCCTCGCCTGTGGTGGCGCTGCACCAAGAACCACTGAAGGAATCGACACAAAAACCTCTGAAGAAGACATGGAGCACAACTTCTTTCTTCATAAAATGTAAACAAACATGGAGTAAAGTCAGATTTTAGTGGTTGTAGGGTTTATTTTTTGTTTTTGGCAAATGTGCCAAACAACTATTCTTCAACAATGAGCTCAGCGTGAGAGGAAGATGAGGCGGAACCATGGAGAACATTGTTTTCCCACACAAGGCGGCTCCAAATGAGGCAGCGTTCACTGAGAAGAACTTCACAGAAGTCATGTCCTCTTCATAAAGACACAAGGTATTTACAAGATATGAGTAACTTTATTACTGTTAATACTCAGAATACCCTGCGTTATAGTCYGCTTCCTGCTTTTGGAGCGGTCTCCCGTCCGCTTGGCGTTCGCACATGCAATTGAACCRCACCAGAGTTTGCTTCAGCCGAATCGTGACTTATGTTTGCAGGTGGACCAGAGTTTGCTTTTTTGGTCTGAATCAGAGTTTGATTACACATTCACACCTCCCCAAATGAACCAGACTTTACAGGCAAACAAACTAGAGTTCGACTAAAGCAGACTAAACAGGGCTRGTGTGAATACACCCCTACAGTGTGTAAAAATACTTTTTCTTTTACTTTTACTTTCCTGATTAATGTGAGCTGATTTTTATTTAACTACTTCTATTATCAGTGAAATTCCTTTTTACAAAAGTTATTTTCTGTGAATGTATTTTCACTTTTATTTAGTTCTTCCTTTCAAGTACTTTAAACACCTCTGTCCATCTCTGCATTCACTTAGCCTCAGTAATCATATGACACCCTCCCACCCATCAGTTCCTTTCTGAATGCAAACACCGCAAAGGCTTGTGGGAAATAGATCTTTAATGCCGATGAAGTTCATAAYAACCTGGAGAGTCACGAGTTCTGATTGCTGCATAATCAGTTTAAATAATCTTGGTCTTTGAAACTTTTTAAATAGAAACACAAACGCATATATGAGTACGTACTGATTAAGACTTCGATGCATAATCAAATATTTCCAACTGTTGGCCCATTTTGGACACTGTTTGGGTTTTAATGACTCAACAAGCCAAACCATGAGGGGAAAAGAAAAAGTGGGCGAGGGGGGAAATGAGAGCAAGGGAGGAAGGGAACCAGAGCAGGGCTGTGGGAGGAAGGGATGAGCTACACCAACATAAAAGACATTCTCTACAGAGAGCTTCCATAATCACAGTTAATGATGCTGATATGTAGCTGCACCAGAGCTTTTGTTATTATTCCTCACTAAACACTCTTATAAAAGGCTGAAAAGAGGCAAAAACAGCATGTCATTTCCAAAAGCATCAATTTGAAGCAAAAAAATAGTATTTTAAGTAAACTTATCTGGTCATTTATTCAGAGGCATATCAGCCCCCCCCCCCGTCGCTTCTGTGACTTAACGATGCAGAACAAAGACACCAAATCATATGGCTCTATCAGGAATTCCACAGCTGAACCTGTATTTTACACTTAACAAAGACAAACTATGACATTCCTCTGGTGTCTCACCATCCATCACCAAGCAGCAGCTCTGCTTTGCCTGTAAGGATTACAGCCAGCCAGAGCGTAAATATACCGTTTATTGCTGAGGGGTTCAGGGAACCAGCACCTCTACTCTCTGCAAAGCTCAGAATGTGATCGCAGATGTTCCATCTTATCCCAAAGCACTACCAGACTCTCTCTTCTGTCGCCTTTGTTTTTACCCTTCTCAGCTCTCTGTTCGAGCACTGCACAGAAATCTTTGGTTTTCCTCAGATAATTGAAAGTGATTGTAAACCTGAGTTCCCAACTGTAATACTCAATGCACTTCTCCTGCAGATTAATAAGGGTTTAGCTGGACTTGAGTATCAGAGTCAGGCCACATGGAAATTATTAGAAAGACRTTTGCAGTTTTACATTTCCTCAAAAGGCTTTATTTCAACTTACAGCCAGGCGCAATCCTTTTTTTTACTATTAAGACCTGGAAGTACACAATGAGACACAGTATTGTTGTCTAACAAGAAAGGCTTGTAATGTTTTAAACTGATTGTATTTTAGGAAATTTTAAGTGTGACATGGTTTTGTCTATTTTAAATCTGGTGAATTAAATTAACATCTATGCTATTAATTGTTTGGCAGCTTGTGGTCAATATGGGTTTTGTAGCTAAAGATCCCCTCATGTTTTAATAAAACTAAACCTTAGTTTCTTATGTCAAATATAAAACAATGATTAGTTATCATTGTTATCACTTTGTAAAATATAAGCTCACAAAGTAAATTGTTACAGAATCAATGTCACTTTGAAAAATGACTGTTTTGACCAATGAGCTCGTTGGCCTTTTCAGGTCTGTGCAGAGGGGGGGCACACCCTTCACTTTTTACCTTTAAATGTATTTCACTACAGTCCTCCTCTTAAACAGCAGGCATTGTTAGAAAGATAATAATGTCACCACACAGCAGGGAGACGTAGGAGAAGASTTTACAGGAAGTGAACTCAGCTTCAACTTTTTTTGCACAGGTCTGGGRTTTAGCAGAACCTTGTTTTAGCTGCAACCCTTAAAATCACAAAATAATTTTCTTGTAAACATTCACAGATATACAATGTCAACATGTAAAATAAAGCTTTATTATTTAGTTAGCATTAAATTTAAAAGTTATATTAATATTTGCCAATTATACCTGTGAGGATGCTGAGAATGCCTGTAGATTTGATTGTATTTTTTTTTGTTAAGTGGCACAACCCTGTCATTTGTCAACATAAGATGATCTTAGTGATTCTTGCATGAAATGCAGTAGGTGATGTGTACTCCTTTAGGGAATGCTTTTTTTTATATATATAGACTGTCCTCTTAGTCGGTTTTAGAAGTACCACTTGTTTTTAAGCCCTAAACAAGTCAGAGAAAAAATCAATGATTATAATTAGGAGGAAAAGTAAGTCAAAGAATGAGAAAGTCTAAATATTAAATGGCTTCAGTTCTTAAGTTCAAGACGAACGTCTTGGTGGTGAAAAAGAAAGACGGCCCAGAATCTGTTGTTCCCTCACTGCCGCCCTCGTTTCACAGAAATTAGGAGCAGAGGGTCGTTAATTAGGCCTGAGAACCGAAGCAGCAGCGTCTCTGAGAGACCAGCCTGTTAACGCTGCACTAATTGGAGCTGTTGGACTTGTTTTATGGCACCAAAACACAATCTTTTATTTATCCTAGAGGACTACTGAACACAAAGAAACTGACACATCTCGTATTTTCTTGCCACTTCTCTAAGAAAAAGAAGTCTGTGGATCATTCAGTCTCCAGGGCTGGAGGAACAGTTGGTGTTAGATGAATCCAAGAGTCCCAGTTTTTACACCCAGGATATCATTACAGCACAGAAAAAAACAAACAAACGATGAGTTAAAGGTCTCTGGAGAAGAGAAATGTGAAGGTGGACAGCATCTTGTATCCTTCTCATCAAAGTGCTGACTAACTCTTAAACAATGCTTGTTTTAGAGCGAACGCTGATTCAGCATCCGCACTATWGTTTCCCCATACGATTTCTTCAGAATTTTCAGTACTCACACTGCTTTTTCAAACTAAATCTGTTTTCTCTGGTTATTTTTTTAACTATTTATTTTTGTCCTTTTTCTGTGAGACTTAGAATCAAGAAGACAAAGAAGGTGATGGCTGGAAAATGTTGCAGTAAATCCCTGAAGTCTAAGAACGAACACATACAGAGCCGTCTCACTGATGCACGCACACTAAACAAGCAAGTCGGTGTGTTAGTTATGTATTCAATACCACCATCTTAAGTCTCTAATGTGTCTGAGTAAGGATTTCCAGGAGGAAGTGTGTGTATTTATCAAACCAGGGCTTGGCTGTGTGAAGGCATTTAATCCCCGACACGCCGCCTGACTGCCACTTATCAATGAACCAACCAAAGAAAAGGAGAAAGAGAAGAAAATCGTTCAAAAAACAAGACAGGCACACGCATTTCCTGCGAGCTTTGTTATCAAAATTGACTTTGTCTCTTCAATAGAGTCAGGCTTGATTTTTAAATAATCTTTTCCTGTTAAATAAATAAATCAAATCAAATCAATAAGCCGCATTTGCACATCACTTACTTTTTTTTTCTTTAAAACAAAAACAGTACTAACATTTGACAGGGAACAGCTGCACAGACACACACAAGGCCAGAGCAGCCTCAGGGAAGATCTGAAAAACAAACCGAGAAKGAAGCTCATCCCTTCGTGGCGTAGGAGCTGACTTCTGCCAGCTGGGCCTGACAAGAGCAGAGAACCAATTCCCCTGTTCAAACAAACAAAAGGAGAGATGGAGCACAGCCTCTTACCCTTTGACCTTCAGGCCACCATAGAGAGCTTCAACAACATCCTTACACTGAATATGAAACTGAAGCTGTGCAAGAAGCCCAAGACTCCAAGGTGTCTTGTATGCTGTAACTCACATACAGATTTACGACAYGACTTCCCGGTTTCTCTCACACCAATCACTCTGATAAACACAATCATGCTTCCATATTTAAAAGTCAGTCAGGCGTTTTCAGTAAAAACCCATAGCAAACAGAGAAAACTGAACACCTTGCTAAGTTATCCCTAATTGTTTCTCTCACTGTTGCAAATGAGGTAAAGKGAAACTCCTGGGTTTGGTTGCTGTGGTGTGTCCAGAGCTGCAGTAGCTGTAAATCACAAAGGCGTTCAGCTCGCTAATGAATCAGCAGTGGAGGGTTTCGGCCAACAGAGCACTGCGGGGCTAAGATCCAGGACAAACAGTATGAAAGCTCGTCCTGGTTAGTACGAGTCCACTGCGCTGTTAGGTTCTCATGTCTCTCGAAAAGCGAAATAAATCAATAAAGATAAAAAGAGAGTGGGTTATCGCTACATATGTGACCAAGAACAAAATGAGAGCTGCAATAAAAGCTGTGAGAAAAATAGATGTTGAGATTTTCTGCTGAAAGCTGAGTTAGACACATTTAAAGTCCTACACCCACCCTATAGCATGTCCAGCAAACTATGATGGAGAATTAAAAACTAAACATCTATGTTCTGTTGCATGTGTTAAAAAGCAATGCAACATTGTTKTTAAAAGGAATCTGTTAGTTTTCCAGGTAGTGGCTTGAAAACGACAGGCTGTGACTTCACGAATAGTCAGCCCACAAAGCGAGACAGCAAGATTTTTATTGAACACCAATCTTATTTTTGTATCAGTCCAGACTACTACATGCAGGAACAAAATCTTGAATTGATATGTCCTGTGAAAATGCAGCCAAGAAGGAAGTTAGTGTCCCTTATTTCAGGAAACTCAAACACATTCAGGAGAAAAGGGTAACGTTTGTCAGAGTCGAAAGGCTTCACTATGGTGTTCTGTGCTCCAAACATTTTTAACTGGAGGATTACGAGTCAGCGATGACAATGCTTTGGCTTTAAAGAAGAAATAACATCCTTTTAAATCCTTCAGTTGGGGTCTATATAAAGTTTAACTGCAATGCTTTGGTCTGAATTCCCCCTTGTTGTAACTCCACAAGCCCCTTTTTCACCCCTTTTGTGTCTCAGATCAACTCGTTTTGGTGCTGTCTCTTTAGATCCAACATGGCGCTTCACACCCTGCCCCMCTCCAGCTTCCAGAGCGGTCCATTCTAGAGGGGGCTACGGCTATGTAGCGGCACAGTCTGACCCAGAGCAAGTTGATAAGTCCTGACCTTCTATCACAAACACTGCTACGTAATACGTAGTTTGGAAAACATCAGAGAAAACAGCAGTTCTACCGTGAAATGGATGCGACAAACAGACCTGCAAAGAAGGTGCAAAATTGTGAGGAAATGGAAAGCTTTGCAGGTWAGACACTTGATTGTAATTTGTGTCAATAGAAGAGATTTTAAACTATTTACCAGTTCAAAATGCTATCAGAATGAAAGGATTACCTTCACTATTTTTTGTGTTTTTCATGGTGCAAAACTGCAGCGTTCTCCTTGAACAAACACAAGCACTTTTCTTGTCTAGGCCCATTTGGTGTTTTGGTGGCTCTCCATTACCTTATCCACACTTGAGTGTTAAGAAAAAACACATTAAAGGGTGTGTCACAGCCGATTATCAGAATGTGTGGCTACCTGTAGATTCATAGCTCAAGCATGAATAATAGTTTTCTTTGACATTATTGAAATTAGAATAAAAATGCATTGGTTTAATTTGGACTCAAACTTCCTTTTTTATAACCTGCAAGAAGAAAAAAAAACTAAAGCTCATCACTGATATACAAGATTTATACGAGGGTCTGCAATTAGTACATCTTCACAGCTGGACCCAATTATCCCAGAAAAGCCAWGTGTGCTTCATGTAAACATCTGTCTCCTCCATACATTTACAATACTGCGCACAAGTTTAAAACCACTTCTAACTTTTTTATACTTGGCTATTTTCCTGTAATCTTTTATAGCATTCTTCCGAAAATGTTCAAGGACTGAAAATAAGTGGGGAAAAGGCTGCCAAATTCAAAAGAAAGACCTTCAGGAAGCCTGAAGAAATATTGATCAAAACCACTTTAAAAGATTACAAGAGAGTCTTCCTGCAAGCAAAGCATAAAGAAATTAAAGAGATGGACGTTCAAACCTACCAGAAAGGTCCAACATCTCTGCTGACTTCTCTGGACACAAGACCATCAAYGGGGAACACAGTGCACAAGTTTTCAGCTTGCTTTTACAGGAAATACGTAGATGCCAAGTTTTATTGTGCCAGAGATAAATGTTTAGCAAAAAGTGGAGGTGCATTCCCACGTTCCGAGAGAATAGCATTTATGAGAGGTAACATAAACTGTAATTTTTAAAGAGACGTGTGGACGCCAAGGTGACATCGTTTTCTTGAAACATTATTTCCTGCAGCACAGACTCAGCCCACATTCTGCTCAGCTTACAAACAGATTGTGAGTGCTGCAAAATGTATCGTGAAGAGGAGAATCAAACAACACAAACCACAGACTGCTGAGCAGCTGAAATCTGGCAGAATGACMWCGAATTCCTGTTGCTAAACTGCACCAGCTCRTGTTCTCACTTCCTAAATTATTCAAGAGGGAAATTAAAAGAACTTAAGACGGAACATGATGATCAGCATGTCTGATATTTTCTTTGAGTGTTCCTGACGATGGCTGTGTCCAAATTCAGGGACTCTGTCCTTCGAAGGACCCGGTGTTGACTGCGAAGACCGGAAAAAACTGGCTGTAAATTTGGACGGTTTAGCCTTCAGCTTTATTACTGCCAACAACCGTGACAGCACTAAACAGAAGCAATGAAGATCAAAATTAGCAAAATATTAATATTATTAACATTATAATTTACAAAATTAGCCAAGAGGCAATACATGAAGAACTAAGGGGCCATATGAGCTTGTTTACGATGATTTCTGACAAGAATAATACAGTATTTACAATCATGTTTATGCAAATGTCAAAAGCCTAACAACACAATCTCTTTAAACTTTCAATTTTTTGCACCGCCATATTTTTTTTAAAACTGTACTCCCGTCTCTTGCTTCGTCCGCCTATACAAGCAAAAAAAATAAAAATAAAAATCTCCCAGTCGACCCACAACGCATCTTGCGATAGGGCGGGCCAAGAAGGATACACCAGACCTGTTCCTCAAATCAGGGCAAAAGGAGGACAGATTTGTGAGCCACAATTAAAGAAGTCTTCAMATTTAGACAGCCTTCGGCACGGAGCAGTGATGCAAGCGGCTGACAAACTGAGCCTTCACAGGATGTCATCCCCAAGTAACTCCAGGGCAGTCCATTTAAGTTGTTTAGTTAAGATGCTGACATGTTTTTAAGTTTCAGTTGTTAAGATTTGTAGCTTTGGCATCAGTTCTACTGCTTTTAGCTACTGTTTAATTATTTTATTTACTGACCATTATKTAACCAGGCAAATCCCACTGAGATCACAGATCTCTTTTCCAAGTGAGGCCTGGGCCTGAAGGCAACCTGTTGAACATGTTTTAGGTCTGYGGGACGAAACCGGAGTARCCAGAGAAAACCCACRCAAGCACAAAGAGAACATKCAAACTCCCCCCAGAAAGACCAGGTCTGAACCAGGGATCAAACCCAGGAACTTCTTGCTGTGAGGCATCAGTGCTAACYACTGACCCATCGTATAGCTTTCAGCTGCCGTTCTGTTGGTTTTATCCTTTTGCTGCTTGTTTGTACGTCAACAGTTTGGTTTCACCTTCAAAAAATTTCGGCAAAGGCCTTCAGCTCTCACACTGCATCCTTACAGAAAAGATTTCCAGCTTTCTTTTTTTTGGCTCAAATTAAAAATGAAAAAAAATCAAACAAATGCAAACATTAACACTTAAACTGTGATATATCAGAAAAAAAAAWATATATATATATAAATATATTATACAGCTGCTAAAGTTAAAATTAGTTAACACTAATGCTTGATCTACAAACCAAGGTGTGTTTGTGAAGTGATACCGGAGGGAAATACTGTAGCTGCTCTCTGTCTCCAGGAAACTCACTTGAACTGCTGGTGTTCCCTGGAGCTGCGGATCTTGGAGGAGAACCTCTCGGCTAGTTTCTCCAAGCTGCGGGAGTATTCCAGTTCGATCTCGGCTTTGCGTCGGAAGAATTCTTGCACGTCCTGCAGCAGCTGGATGCGAGACTCAGAGTGCTGCTCCAAACACTTGAACTGCTCCACTAGCTGGTTACGGATCTCTGTCCATCAAAACAAAAATGACATTTGACGACAAGTTAACTCCCAAAAATTAAAAGTGTTAATGTTTCAAAAGTTAGTAAAACACTAATACTTAAAGACCTAGCATTGCTTGAAGGAACGCATGTTGCCYGCCATCTTTCATGCCCAAGTTTTGCTTTTGTCCTGTGGTTCTTGAGATGTTTTGGTCACATGACACACACTCTCACACATACATATAATTACATAACTGCCTTTCAGGATGATAATTATTTGTTTTTTAAAGCCTGACTAAGTCACAACACAAATCATTTCCACAAGTTTCAATGATCCTGAAAATATTTTTTATTGAAGTTCAGTCCAACAGCAACATAAAGACAGAAAAGAGAGTCAAGTGACCGTGAAAGCACCACAACAAGTCAGTAAGATGACCGTGTAGGGGGGACTTTTCATAAATGTCTGACTGTGGATTTACAGAGTGATGAGACTGCTTTAATGAGACAGTACTGCACTCCCACAGTGGGAAAGAAAAAGAAGAAGAAGAGTGACATTTGTCTTTAAGAGGAACCTGACACGACCAAGCAGAGCACAGATCCTTCATGCCCGTGGGAGCCACGAGCGAAACATGATTCCACTCTGTAGTGCTGTCATCAGCAGCAAAGATACCGCAACTCGTGAACAGAGAGAGTTTTATTCCTCAGAGCAAAGACAGAAACATACAGAGAGGAGCGATGACAAACAGGATGAGTCGTGGCACTTGACAYGTAGAAGCAAAGCTTCAGGACGATTTTATTAAAAGTAAAATGTTTCTTCATTAGCTCAGATTAAAGCTGTCAGGGCAATTTGTGAAAAACATCCAGAGGTGGGAAATGACTTGCTGTAAAAGCTTAAACTGAGTTGTAAACGCTAAAAAACGAACATTAGCTAAAAGCTAAAGGGAGTAAAATACTGCCTAAAAAATAAAAAGATAAAAAAGCTGCAAGCAAAAAAACACTAAAACAGCAAAGATTAGCTGAAAGGTTAAAGTAGCAAACAGACAGCTAAAAGTAGCAAAATGCTAGCTTCAAACTAAAATTAGTGAAATGCTAGTTGCAGCTAAAAGTTCTTAAGTAAGTTATCGTTCTTGCATTTTTGTGTTTGTCTTTAAAAACTCTGCGTTGCATCAAATGAAACATGAACTACAGAAACATAAACCTCCTAATGAGAGTCGCAGCGTGTTGCAACATACTCTGTTACAACACGAGTCACTGCAAGTCATAACCTCCATCAAAAACAAGAACAGGATGGATTTTGGCAGATGAACTGCTAACAGACGGATAAAAGTCACGCAGAGTGTTGTTTTTCATGATGCTGAGGGTGTCATTTGGTCAGCCAAGCCCTGGTCGTGTGTAGGTGCYGGTTCTGACTGCCGGGGAAACGGACCTGTTGTGTTTGTGATGTCGTGTCGCCTGGCCTCAGGCCTAAACGTCGTGCTTTACTCTGCGGTTAACCACTGACCCTCCCTTTCTTTTTCTCCTCAGGCCTCCCTTTTTCTCTGGGACTGAGCTTAAAGGGATAGTTCCCATCTTTTAATGTATGGCTCAATTCCAGAATGGTTGTGAATAATTTGTATCTTACCTATTATAGATATCTGCAAACACAAACAGCAGAATTGCAATCTTATGTTTATTGCGAAATTGATGACAATGTAAATATTTATAAAACTGCATATACCGATATAAATTTTTTTTATATTGTTGCTTTAAGTCAACAGTAATTAGTAGATCTTAGTCTTTAAGTCAACAGTAATTAGTAGATCTTAGTCTTTAGCTTGTCAGTCTGGTGATAAGTGAACTCCATTTCTCCAAACTCAAGTCATTCAAGGAGCTGTCTACAACAGGTAAGATATTCATTGTTTRTAATCTTTCTACAGAACACCACTTAAAACCTGAACTATCTCCCTTATTTTAGGTTAAAGCTCTGTCCTGCCAGGTTTGTCTGGTGCTGCCAGATAAAACAGTTATGTGTCCTACTTGCAATATTTTTGTTCCCTTTTTTTAAAGGGGAAATATCAAGTGAAATCAACTTTTTTGGGTTTTATATCATGTTATAATGTTATACTCTCATAAAAAAACATGCCCAAAGCCTTGCTTTGACTCATTCATGCATGTTTGMGAAATCCTGCAGCGTTTTTAGGCAGCCATGCTGAGGAGCAAAACGACAGGTGGGGACCAGAAACGCCCCTGAGACGTGTCTTTAAGCCGAACTTCCTCATGGCAGAGCACACCCCCACCCCCGCGCACGCACGAGCCCCCCCGCATGCAATACCCCTCCCCCACTCCCAGAATGGGATGGAACAGAATCAGAAAGTGGTTCTTAAAGAGACAGAGGTCAATTTCAAGGCGTTTAGAAGAGGAAGTGATGGGGGGATAAGTTTATTTTCTATTTAAACATAAAAACAGCATTTTACTAACAGCTAAAGGTGACATAGATACTTTATTATGGTATAGTATTTAAATATATGCCTGAGAAACACATAATATTGACCCTTTAAGAAAAATCAGAGCCAAAAGAATTATCTGAGGAAGGTTGGACACCCACATTCATGGGTAACAGGGCAGACTAATGTAAAAGGAACTCTGAACACCGGCTGCAGCCACACTTTTAAGAGTTTGAAAAAAATGTCATGCACACCAGAAGTATGCTCTTTCCTGTGAGAAACTACGAGCGATTGGAAAATTATTCCCGGTTCTTTGAAAAGCTTCATTYGCTGCGSTTTATTCAAAGAGAGGGACCCCATCAGTGGTTCTTTTTCTCTTTTTGAGAAATGAAATGAACAATGATGTGAATATACTACATGCCTGCAGGATAATTAATAATGACAGTAATAATGCCCATTTCAGATGCAGGAAGGACATTCAGAAAAAAAAACAATTCTTCTATAACTGTTAGATTCATGTTGGTGAGCTCTGTTGATGTATTTAATCCCTACATAGTCAAGTTCCCTTAAACCAATTTTTTAATGAAGAATTCACTCAATGAAACGGCAACTAGTTATCACTGATTTGTGGAGTTAAATGGAACATTTAGTCTGGTTAATTAAATGTTCAGAATAACTTCCACCCAGAAGTAAAACATTCAGAGTTAGAGCAAAAGGAGAGTTAGGCTTGTTGGAAGCAGTTCTTGTCATAAATATTACACAAGTCTCCTCACCTCCAGTCTGAAACRGGATTATCTGCACAGTCAAATCAAAATCACCAAGTGAGGAAATYAAAGCTGTAATGTTGCTGCTCAGTTGTGTTGTTTCTGTATCTGCTCTGTTTTTCACTATTTCTGTGTGTRGAAGAGAAATGTTGTGACACGTAGCTAATTATGGATGCTTATGGGTGGTTAGAGTTCAACCAAGAAACAAATAAGGACTGCAGTTATACAACTCTGACTTTTTTTAACTTCATTTACAGCCTAGTTAGGGTATYATGAAGCTCATGGGGTAGTAGACCAGTTCTTGCTATGAAGCCAGGACTACATTGACAAAACTTGTTGCTATCATCAACAAATCATGACAAAATAAAATCTGTATTTGGTGCAAGATCTGTTTTTCCTCCAAACCTCTGGTYACTTTATTTATTGAACACAATTTTTGTAAAGCTCACAATCATGTTTTGCCAAAACTACATCCYAGAAGCTGCTTTAATTAAAGGATAGGATCAGATATTTTGAAAGTGGACATATCATGATTTAAAATCCATCCTTTTCACATTTAAATCATTTAGTTTGGGTCTACTGTATATGTGAAGCTGCAGTGCTTTGGTCTGGATTTATTGTTATTGTAACTCCACAAGCCCCTCTTTCACCTCCTTTTCTGTAGTGTGTCTGAGAGCAACTCGTTTTGGTGCTGYCTCTTTTAGTGCAAATGAGGCGCTTCACACCCCACCCCTATAGGTCTCACTCCTAATGATCATTGTCCACTCCACAGCAAAATGCATTTAACGGCTAAAAAAGTGGATTTTGCTTGATGTGTCTCCTTTAAAGCAACACTCTGTGGAAATGTTGTGAACAATTAACATCTTGCCTGCTCCAGATGGTTTTTCAAACTGACTTGACTAATGACAACTAGTCTTAGTGGTGATCAAATCAAAATGAATTGCTGTTATATTAAAAAACAAAAATAAAAGTTGTTGTCCATTAAATTTAGAAGAAAAATTATTATATTCCCGAWGGAAATACCTCAGGCTGCAACAGAAGTGCTACAGCTAGCTGCTGATGCTCTTGCAACAATAAYATAACTGAAAAACTGATGGCAATGTGAAGGTTTATAAAATAGCCTTTTCAAGAATTAAAAGAGTTTTGGATCATCACAGATCTTTAACCACTCACACTCAACCAGCAGCCTAATTATGACATTTTTATAGACAGACGTGTCACATTTTTACTCAAGTCTTTTCATCATCATTATGAGGGTCCTGCTCCATCAAACACCTACACCTGTTGCAGACAGTCGTTTGTCAAACGCCATTTATAGGCAGGAAGTGAAAGCTCAGTGGACACTTGTTTCCTCGTCTGACAGGATGAGGAAAACCTCTAAAAAACAATAGGAGGATGTTGGAGATCTACGACCTCTGACCCTCACAGAAAAACGCCTGCTCTGGCAGCTGTGTCAAAACCTCATAACACAGTTTGAGGACGTTTCTATAAAATTTGGTAAAAACAAGAAACCTCAAGGGAAGTGTCTGAAGAAAATTATARTTTGGCTGTGCATACAAATGTTTGCTTCCTAACAGATGTGTGCATTGACTGGCACAACATTTGCTTTCAATGCAACTGCTAAAAACCAAACATCTCCACATGTTCTTTTTTTTCCCTTTGAAATCTTCTGAGCAATTATTTTTTCTCTCTCTCTTGTTCACAAAGTGTGCCCGGCACGGACCTCTGGTTGCATTAGAGACTTCCTTTGGCTGATTTGCTCCACTTCCTGTTGGCTCCCCACCAAGAGAATGGCAACAAGATTATTAACAGATGCAGTACTTGAAAAATTTCTAGTATT